CCCGTCCAAGAATCATACTCCTCCATCAACTGGTTGTACCTAACCCCATTCGGGAACTTCTCACTTCCCAGATGCGTCGTATGCGCCCACGGCTTCTCCTCGCACTCGGCCCTGATGCTCTTGCTGAAGCATCTGCTCCAGCCGTTCCTCTTCCATTTTGTGGCCACCTCCCTCCTCGTCTCCGGGTGCACCAAATACGGCATCTCGCTCATGTTATCGTACACCGTCGCCAGCTGGATCAGCTGACCCAGAAAGGTGATGGTGCCGACGGTTCCCTGGTCCTGGTGGCGGATGATGGCCTCAGCGACGGCTTCGGCTTGCGACTGGGCACCGCCCAACTGGTGCTGGATCAGGTTAATGGCGATGAAGCCGCCTTGGAACTCAAACGACAGCTGGGTGCTGGACCGGTTGGCGGGGGTGGTGCCGATGTCGTGGAGGAGGCAGGTGAGGGCGAGGGTGGAGGGGGAGAGGGAGGAGGCGTGGGTGGGGAACTGCTGGCGGGCGATGATTGTTGCTTTTGTTTGATGTGTTAGTATTGTGCTCAGTTTCATGCTGGACGATGGGGAGAGAGTCTGGCTGAAGTACCCCAATGGAAAACTCGCATAGAGTGGTTGTAGGTCTCGATGGGAAGCTTCTCCTTGGCGTATTCTTGGACTTTGGCTACGATAGGATCATCGGATGGCCACACAATATCGTCGAGCGAGACGGGAGTCGGCTCGTTGAGATACGGCTTTCCTTCGAAGATGGCATCGACATCGACAGGCACGGCAGTCCAGCCATGGAGGGCGACGGTATCGGTGTTGGGGCACATGGTGGTGATGTTTTGTTCTTGGTGGATGACCTTGGCAGAGAAGCAGAAATATTATGAGACTCTGTTGCCTCTTCTGTTGCTCTCTGGACGTTGGTATTTATTTCTTTCAGACTTTGTCGAGGCAACCAAAGATGATATATCTCAAGTCCAACGTCGATCCCGAACAATTGACGAAGCTGACTCACTGTCTCCGCTACTCCACGCGGATCCGCCGCTCCCGGTGAAACAATTCTCGTGGCACTTGAGGTTTTTCTAGATGTACGTAAGTATTCCGCAAATAGTCGAGGATGACACGCGGTCGAACAAGGTTTATGGCGGCCCGGATTGACGTCGTGGTGGATTCAACAGCGGTGTGGGTACGGGTAGTGACGGTTAACTCGGCGAGACTGCCGTGTCGAGTCTTTCAGAGCAGTGTTCGATGTATTTCATGTCTCCGTCAATACGCCCTTCTGTTGACACGCGATCCCTTCATTCCCTGGGACTAGACATGTAGTCCTTTTCGTCCAATTCTTCGTCCGATTCCAACGTTGTACAGCGTGTAAAGACGACATCGTCATCAATGTCGTTGGAGAGATTTGTCATCAAGACATCAGCCGGCAGCTTGCAATAAGTATTTATCATCTGAATAGAGAGGGTGTTACAAAGAGACTTCTGTAACAGGCTAATAGAAGTGTGGGGATTAGGTAGCTCAGTATCTAAGTGCCACAGCTAGCTGTTATAGTGGACGCAACAGTGGGTTCCCCAGGCCGCGTCCAATGCGTACCGTGTGGGGACTCCTAACTGCCCTGTTTGAGGGCGGATGACTTGGTGATGTTTGCAACCTTTTCCAATTGCAACGAGATGTTTCCGCGGAGCGCGAAATCAAGCCGATCTTCTGCAATAGTAATGGGTATTTGGTGGGAAAAACTGTCAGTCTCCTCGCAAGCCATCCTGCCCGTCCTTGAGCCCTCGGGTTTAGAGTCACAACAAGCCGTTTGCAAGCGACCTTACCTACGTACACATAAGGCGTAGGGGAAGCAGGGCGGAGATGCATTGTTTTCATCAGAAGGAAAATCGTATAGAACACATGGAAGAGGTATCAAAAGGAAGCTTAAGGAGGGTGGAAAATCTCCATTTGAGTGATCCAAACTGGGTCCAAGACCCGAATTGCTGCCTCCCATGTAGTAGGTAGGTGATTATGTCCAACTCGTCCTTACAAAATTCCCCGAAGCTTGCTTGTCTTGTTGATGTCGAAACAAATCCTTGACTCTCAGGCATCCCTCTTTCCAGTTCCCGGTCCCAATCTCACATCAAATCCAAGTCGCCCTCTCATTCCATGACGGTGGCCCGTGATTTTCTTCCAAGCAGGCGATCAAGCAGTCACCTGTTCCCACCAATATCGCATCACCTCCCACGTCCAGACAGTCCTTGCCTTATGCTTCACAGTAGCACGCCTTGCAAGTCTTCATAAAGTTATTATGGAATCCCTGGGCGTCGCAGTAAGCGTTTGCGTTGCTGGCCATGCAAAGCGCGTCGAGACGCGAGTCGGGGCACCTGGGCTTGCCGTAGTCGACTTGTACGGTGTTGACCTTGGGTGTCGTGGGGCCCTCGGGAGCAGTCTGGTCGGCGGCGGCCTCTTGAGGTTGGGCGGTAGGCAAGGCGAGAGTGCCGCTGGTGAAGACGCCCAAGAGGGTGATGAGGGTGATGGAGGTCTTTTGGGGTGGAGGAGTTAGTTGTTGTTTTGTCTGGTGAGTGGGATTGGGGATGGACGTGCTGAATTGGGGTGAGGTGTGGGTTAGAGAGTAGGAAGCGGTGATCAGATAGGATGAGGTTACACGAGAAGATATGTACTGTACTTGCCTTCATTTTGACGACGGGTCGTTAAGGAAGAGATAAATGTTTGCAATGAAGGCACTTGAGCTTGCTAAGATTGTGGTTAGGTTCAAGTCTCGTCGATCAATCGCACGGGTTGTACTGGTATCCAAAAATCTAGATGGTACGGAATGAGGGGTTTGGGTCGTATAGAGAACAGAAGGTTGGCTGAGTTGAATGTCTCAGGACGTGTCGTGTATTGTGTTTCGTGTTGTTGCAGATGTCGTGGAATGGGAATAAAGTATTGGCTGGGGATGATCCGCGGGGAGAGGCAGGGAGGCTCACCTAGTGGACACACGGCTGGTTTTAAGGTATAGTGATCGACGCTGTCAGGTGTGATGATCTTTTCCCCGGAGCCACCTTCGTAGGCTGGTGGTACTGGGAGGAGGCTTTTATATCCAAGAGGATGGGAAACCGTGGTTGCTTTTTGAGATACACCCTTGTTAAGAAGAAAAAAAAAAAAAAAAAAGCCAAAACTCCGGACTAAGAGACCAGATGATGCACGGCAACCTTGTTCACGATGCTTGCTTAGGATCGAGAGCTAAGCCGTTGGGGTTTAGAACTTTGATAGTCCCAATTTTTGCGCGTAGAATGGAAAAAGATGAAACCAACCGCAAGCGCCAGATGTGATCCGCCTCTTTTGATACCTGTTTAAGGTTGAAGAAGCAAACACTGTTGGGTCTGATGACTGATGCCAGAAAGCCGAGTAAAGCGGGAAAAGAAGGGTGTCTGAGAGGGAAGTAGGCAACAGAGTTGATGGTATGATACACCGGAAAGAAGGTGAGGGATGGTGAGAAGACTGGACGACACTTCGACTTTACTCCACGTCAAACCGGAGTTCCAGCCGTGGCAGTGTGTACGCTGGTCCCGTACCAGAATTCGGTTCCGATGGGTGACTATTAAGGTGACAGCATTTATACATCAGGAACATGTCTCAACCCACTCAAGAGTGGCAACTCCAATTCCCGGGAATCTTGAGACCTGCCGCTGTAATGGAATGCCACCCAAGGCATGGATTGGGGCGGCGGGGAACGGTTGACCGAGGGAGGGTAACCCGGGATTTGGTAATCCAGTAGGAGCAGTGTCCTTCGCTGAACCAGGGACCGAAGTAGATGGATGACCACGGATTTCCGAATGGAAAAAAGAGCCTCAATAGAGTAAAGACATCGGAACCGAAGACTGCCATCTCGTATTCCAGATCGAAGTGTCTTGGAACCGCGCCTTTGACGTCTTGCTGTTGATCCCCCGGTTTGGACACAGCAGACTGAATTCACATGTTTTAGTTCGATTTCAAGCAGACCGGGATGAAACATGCGCGAAATTCTGGCTTGAACTGTTCGAAAACAATGCGTATGTATCTCACCAAGGGATGTGTTAGTTGTGCTATATATACATCTGCCAAGTCCTTGAGAGACACAATGAGCAAGGGATCAGCCGCATACCTACAGCTTCGAGAATGAGCGATGTGGTCTCCTCACGATAATGTGATGCTAATTTGTACTTTGTCAATGGTGTCCGAAATGGAGGTCTTGGAAGATGGGCATTTACGCAACATCTGTCTGCCAATCTCGGACGAGGAACATGCCAGGACAGCTAGAATAGGAATGATAATCAGCAATCTCACCTTCCGCTTGCCTCTTTCTATCACGTTCCCCTGATTCCATCTACCCCGCCGTCGGTACCTGAATATCTGCGGAGAAGCGGTAGAACCATGTCATGTCTTTCTTAGGAGGCATGTATAGTGCCATGGTTCCAGCTGTTCGAAGGTTTTGGTCATTTAGACCGTCGAATTGTGCGGGGTCGTCATTTTTCGACCAGTTGCTGACACTGGGCACGTTCAACAATATCTGAGCATGAAAGCGGTAACAGCTGAGTGATGTCAACGACTGTGCAGAAATCCATCTCCGACGGAAAACAAAGGGGGCCATATGACGAACCCTGGACGCGACGCCCTATGCGGACAGCGGGCTAGATGGCATGCGTTGCCGAGAAACAAATGCCACGTTTGGTCGATATGTGGTCCGTCGAATGATAGGCCGTCCCGAATAATGCACAATGTGTGTTCGCTATAGGATTGGGGGCCGGGGCCGGTGCCGTGTTCGAGGGTCCAATGGATGCCGCCTGTAGAATAAAGTGGTTTTGTTAATTATCCATATTCACCCGTGTTGACCTCCGGAAAACGCCAGATTAAGTACCCATCTACCTGGTGTTTCGGTCATGCTTGATGACGGGCAAATGGAGAATCTTTTTCTCGTCAACAGAAATGGGCATTGAGGCTTTGGTCCTTTGACCGGGAATGTAATGCGTAGTGTCCTCAGTCCTCAATTCGAGCGGTAGGTTGCAAGAATGAAAAAAGTTTTCGTGTTCTCTGGGACTGGAAGGAGCAATGGCCTCGGGCTGGCGAGGAAAGAAGTGAAAACCGTCCCTTCCCGCCCAGCTATTATGACTGCGGGGTCATTACGTCCAACATGCTCGGGTCCGTAAGCCGAGCCAGCAATGGCCGGAGGCGGCTTTGAGCAAAAACGATTGACGGGACCGTGGGGGTTATTCCCATGTCTGTGCCCGTATGAAGCTACGGTAATGGTTTCGGCGTGAGGCGAAACGGAAACCACCGCCTGTTCTGGATAATACTATTTTAGTAAAAAAACGTGGCAGCTAATCTCGACCCGCGATGCGTCTAGACCACGGCGCATCCAAGCGATGTCAAGTCAACAAGGCTGCAGATGCCTTGGCACATGGCAAGTATTGTCGAGCGAGAGACGGGAACCAAGCATTAATATATATACTTGTATATCTCTATATTGTGGCAGTGTAAATGCATAAGTCATCGTAATCATCGATATCAGTATCGTAGTGTTGTTGCGTAAACGTACCAGCCGTAGACGCCTCTTCTTCTTCTAATCCCATATCCAACTAACAGCTCGCACCCATCCTTTTGTCTTGCCTTCTTCTGGTTCTTCGAAAATGGCCTCTTCGGCTTGCTCGAAAGCAATATCGAGTGGTATGTCGTCTAGTGATACAACCTTGGTCTTCTTGTAAAATTTCCATGCCAGGTAGGCAATGAGGACAATTGGGATGTCCCTAATCGGTCGTTAGTTTTACTGCGGCTATGACGAGGGGAGAAAGGTGAACTTACAAGTAAGAAGAGACAAACGTGGCGGCATCCCAGTTACCCTTGGTAAAGACGCTGAAGCCTCCTGTCAGGAGAATGACGATGCACATGAAGAGCGCTACTGGTGAGCTGTAGACTGCACCCCGGAAAGTAGTTAGCATCAGATCTTGGATGGAGCTCTCCGACAAAACTTACCAGTCCACCAGCTAGACCATGGCAGCCTAGTATACGCGATGCCTTGCCTGTCCATCGCCTTTCTCAAGCGAATGTGATTCAACAAGATGGATGACCACGACACCAACACTCCCGCCGAGGTCAGGCGTACCAGCCACCAGAACACGTTAATAGCGCGCTCCGACAGGCTCATAAAGCTGAGCGACATGAACCCTCCAAACAGGAGCACACACATGTACGGCGTCCCCCACGACGTAGTCCGCAGGAAGATCTTGGGCGCCTGTCCCTTCAGTGCCAACCCATACAACACCCTCGTGCCGGCCAACAAGCTCTGGTTAGACGCCGACCACGCCGAAGTGATGACAATGGCATTAACCACCGACGGAATCGCCTTGATACCCGCCGCCGAAGCCGCAATCACAAACGGGCTCTGCGCAACGCTATCCCCGCTACCATCCAGCCTCGGATCATCGCTCGCCACAAGCATACCCACCACCAGCACGGCCAGCATATAAAACAACACCACTCTCGCAAACACGCGCTTGCAAGCCCTGGGTATCGCCTTCCTAGGGTTCCTCGTCTCGGCCGCCGCCATCGCCAGACTCTCCACGCCCGCGAAGCTGAACACCGCGCCCGTCATAACCGACCAAAAGCCAAGAAACTTCCCCCAATCGCCCGTAGCGATATACTCCACAAACGGCCCCGGACTCTTCCAATATCTAAACCCTATCCTTTCCGTCCCCGGGATCCCGCCCAAATCAATAACCAGTCCCAGCACAATCAGGAAAACGACCAGCACCACCTTCAGCATGGCAAACACAAACTCCACCTCCCCAAACACCCTCACCAGCGCCATCCCCACGCCCACCGTCACCACGATAAAAAAGACAATGAACACCGCCGGATTCACCTTTCCCTCGGTCCAGTACTCAAACAACACGCAGATCGCCGTGATCTCACTCGGTATAGACAAAACATTGCCATACACCAGGTTCCAACCTATAGCAAAGCCCCAAGCTGGATCGACCAGGAACTCGGCGTGTCGTACGAAGCTGCCTGTTACCGGGAGAAGGGAGGCGACTTCGCCCAAAGCGAACTGGACGGCGCACACGATTAGGCCGATGATGAAGTACCCTAGCAATGCTCCCAATGGACCGCCGCGGGCGACGGCGCCCCCCAAGCCGAGGAAGAGGCCGGTGCCGATGGAGCCGGCGATGCCGAGCATGGAGAGGTGGCGCTGGGCGAGGCCGCGGGTGAGAGAGCGGGATTCGGTCGTTGTTAGGAGGTCGGCTGCGTGTCCATCGCCTTGGTCTCCTTGCTGGGACTCCAAGATGGGTGAACCCATGCTACCGTTGTCGTCGGAGTCGTATGCCAAGGGCTCGGGATCGAGGTAGGTCAGGTCTGCTGATGATCGGGGACTGTGACTATCGTAGCGGTTGTTGTTGTTGTTGATGGTGTGGTAGTTCATCGTCCCGGCCATTGCTGCTGCCTTGATGTTATTGCCGCCGCGCCCGCTGCTGTTGATGGTGCTGTTGCTGTTGCTGGTGCGGAGAAGCCCAGCACGGGAAGCATCGTCCCTAGAGGTACCACCTGATGGCGCCATTTTCCGTGATGAACCGCCTGTGACTTTGAACCCAGATAATTCCCGCCCGCTTCCGAGTTCCTTTTTCGGAAAGCCGAGTGTGCGGTGAGTGAATGTGTTCAGCGCGGTGACATGGGGTTTTGTATGTCGTGCTGACTGAGTGACTGTTGCGGTTGCATTGAATGTAGTGGTGTGTGGGAAGATGTGATTGGTGAGAATATTGAGTTTATGAGAGGGGACTTGAATGGTGAGATAAGCTTGCTGTCAGCAGAATCTGGGTTAGGGTTGATAGTGGAGTACCGGATAAGTGTTCACTCGACGCTTCTTCGTCCTGCAGGGGCACTGATGCGAGACCAAGAAATTACGGTGATGTTTTAACAGTCAACCAGCCATTCCTAAATATGACATATCTCAAATGATCCATATGATGGTACTAAGGATTACAAGAAAATATGCCACGATATACTTCGGTAACCCTAACAAAGGTAAACCATCTGGCTGGCCTGTCCGCTTCAATGAATGAGCGGACGACAGGAACAGAATAAAAACACACCAAATCGGCCACACTTGCTCGCTCATGAGAAAAAAAAATTTCCGGGGGATCCAAAGATGGTATCAAACAACCAAAGACAACAGCAAACGAGCAGGTATGATGAGCTAGGAATCAACAAAGCAGAGAAACTCCCAGCACCCATGCGATCCGCACGCCTAAATGCAAACAAGAAACGAATGATATAGAATCCCCCAGCACATGTTCTTCCTGTTCCCGCCTTCCTTCTTGTCTGCCGTGTTAGGTGATAAATCGGTCTCGACCACACTATTTTTCGCCAATCTTCCGATCGCTTGTCCACTCAAGCCGTCGCTTCATAAAACATACTCGTACGTACGTGTGAGCAGAAATAAGAGAAGCATATCCAACGGGCCATATATCCTCGTCACCGGGTATCACCATAATCTCATTCACTCAAGACCCCTTCCCAATGCTCGTTTCAGAGCTCATCTTCCTCCCACACGCCGTTACTATTACCCCGATCATCAAGCACCTCCACCTTCGTCCCCAGCGCCTCCTTCCCCTGGCGAATCATCTGCAAGAGTTTCTCATTGAAAGCATCAATATTCGCATCCGCGTCCCTCTCGGCAGCAATCTTCTTCTTAGCAAGATGCTTCGCCTCGCCATCCAGTCTCGGGCTGGCCTTCAGTCCGTCCTCGACAAAAGCGCTATGGAGGCTCACTCCTCTGCTCCTACGCATAGAGGATGGAGGCCTGCCTGTTGAGGAACCGTGACTGGAACCACCGGCAGCAGCGCCGCTGCTTTCACCGCGGCGGTGGTGGTGGTTGTGGTTGGTGGGAGATTTCAAGACCTTGGCGGATGAACTTGTCGATGGTCTAGGGATGGCGGGGGAGGACAGCTGGATGGGCGCTTGGAGACTTCGCCTGGTGCCATTGCTGCTCCCGCCGCCGCCGCCACCAAGACTCTGGCGACTTGCAGGGCGAACACTCTGACGACTTGCGGGGCGAACACTCTGACGACTTGCGGGGCGAGAAGCGGAGGAAGACTGATAGGCAGGTGAGGAGAATGCAAAAGGGGTGGGGTTTGCGTAGCTGGGACTTTGGAGGCCAGGGCTCTGACGGCCATTAGAAGCAGCCGCATTGAGACTGCCAAAACTGGGACGAGCCCCTCCACTTCCTGGCCCTCCACCGGCAGAGGCAGGAAGGGGTATTCGGCTTACAGGAGCCGCCGTCGTTGTAGGTGTAGAAAATGAAGGAGTCGGTATATTACTAACGGGTGACCTGGGAGTGGGAGCGCCAAAACTAGGGAGTTCTTGAGCTCCCACATCAGGTGCGACGGTATGTTGTGATAGTCTCGACGGAGCCCGCGTCCGGGGCAGCATAGACGGACCGCCAGTAAACCTCTGAGAGGGAGCAGTGATACGTCTTGTAGCATTGCTCGAGGACAATCCTGGCGTCCTTGTCCGCAAAGATGGCGGTCTTAGTCCGGGGGTTGCCCGACCTGACGACGCACCGCCAAAGCTAGGCATAGCAGCGGCGCTAAAACTAGGCACAGCAGGCATAGGCGATGGGCTTCCACCATTGCCGTTCTCGTCTACCATGACCCAGTTCCTGTTGAGGTCGTCCTGGTTCTCGCTTACTTGTCTCCGCTTGACGGCCGGTCGGATCAACGAATCTGGATTGCTTGTCTCGTGATACTCGGGCGCATAAGGCATATAATCGGACATTGGAAGCGGTGGTAGAGATGAAAAGTCCTGCTGCGGTGCCACAAACTCCTGCACTGGATGTGATATGGGCGTCATCACCGTCTCTTGAGGGGGCATCGACGTGTCTTGGTCAGCCTCCATGGTAAAATGAATGGGCTGTTCCCGTTGTTCGCTAGCCCACGGCTGGCCAACGGCAGTGGCCTGGACAGATGGGGTAACTGTTGAACCGTTAACCTCGTATCCTGTGCCGCCTCCGGCTTGGAAGCCACGAAAAGCTCCGCCTTTACAGAACTCCCACACCTTGCCCACTACTGAGCCTAGGGTTTGCAAGCCAAGGAAGCCCCATTTCGACGAGTTCGCCGAGTGGTGTTGTTGTGTGGAAGGGTCGACCTGACCCTCCCCCTGAGGTGACGGACCATCGGGGTCGTCGTGGGCTCGCTTGGAGCCTGCGGCTCTCCTGTAGTCTAGATCAGAGTACATGCTCTCTTCCAGCCTACCGTTGGCCGTGACGGCGCCGCCTGTTGGGGTAGCATTCAGCTGGCCGGCCAAGTTGTATCTTGTCTGACCCGCATCAGCCATCCCTGTCTCTGCCTTTCCGTCGTTCATACCATCCACCTGCATGTTGTGATCGTTCAGGGTTCCTCCCCGCACACCCAGTCCTAAACGTTTCCGCTTCGCATTTGCTTGTTCTGGTGTTTGTAAGGGGCTTGTCCCGTTAGACATGGATATGTCGGAGAAGAGGCTGCCGGTGGATTTGGCGAGGTTGTGGTTCGAGTCGGCCGGCGAGGCTGGCGGCCGGAAGATGCCAGCGCTTAGGGTTTGTGGTGGATTATTGCCCGTATCGAAATAGCCACCAGAAAGGTGGTAATCTGGGCCAAAGGACATGGTGGGATAACTATCAAAGGTCGGTGGAAATGCGACGGGGTTTCATCCAAGGAGCCGCCGTACAGGTTGGGCCGATTTTCGATGGGTCGGGGTGCGTTGAGAAAGTTCTAGCGTTGGAGCTAGCCGACTCAAGAATGACGATTCGGTTACTGCGATGGTGACCTCGTTGCTGAGTGGTTCGTTCGGTCCAATGGTTGTTGAGTCTGGATGCTTTGCTGGCCGCAGGAGCGTCTCTGCATGGTAATCCGAGCGTCAGGGTCCAATTGTGCGTCGCCCTGACTGATCTTCAATCGTATAATCTCGGCTCTGCCTTTCCCTCTTGATTCTCTCTTCAGACTATCGAAGGACAGATGCCCACGAGTTGGGGTAAAGGAGGTGGCCGCGGCGGGGGAAGCGCGTGATCGCGAGGAGCGGTATCGGGAGCCTGAGCTATCGGTTGTCGAGCACTGTAAGACCGCACCCGCTGGTGGTAAGAAAAACGGCTGGATGGGGCAAAGTTGGACGAAAGGAATGCGTGTCGCGTCAGAGCCGGCAGAAGTCCCCGAGGTCGCACAGACACGAGACAGCAAAGGGCGAGCTGAAGCTGAGACGAGAGACTCTAGTTGGAGACAAGGGCGACTCCTCGGGTTCGGGACCAGGCGCAGCAGGCCGTCGTCGGTGAGAGATCGGACGGCGATAACAGCCTTTTCGAGGGAATACGTATGCGATCCAATGCGACTTGCGAGCGCGGGAAAAAAGGATGGTTGGATTTATTCTTTCCCAAGCGCCTGATGAACACCAGGGCCGACAACAGTTGTTTGGAGAATCGAAGAAGTGGACGACGGCCTCGACACTTTCTCAGAGCCCAGCCACGGGAATTGTGTGAATGCGGACGGAGTATCGGCTTATCAGAGAGGGGGCGGTCAACATTTATCGAGGGGTATCGTAGCTGAGCGTAGGCTTCTTGGCTGTTCTATAGTCACCTGGGCTTGTGACTTTTTTGCTGCTTCCTCTCGCTGGCCAAGGTTTGGACGAGAACCTTGGACTAGTGCAACAAAATCCGAGAAGTCCAAGGTCGTTAGTTGATGAGAAGATGACCGTCAAAGGCAAGCGGTTTTGAGCTCACGGCAAGGTGCTGTCGATATTGATCGCATGAGAGACATGAAAGGGGAATCCGAACCCGAAAGATCATGGGGTCTCCTGATCAGTGACCGGGGCGATCCCGTTCTAGAGATGCGAAGCCCCTCAACCCCTGCAGATTTGGTGAAAGTCAACAAATCTGAACTCCGCGGCCTGTGCCAACCAAACAGCGCTCCTGTCACAGGCCGCTGGCGCGGCAAGCTCAGTGGGGTTCGCGCAACCACTTTGGGGGTCACAACCCAGCAGCCGACCACTACGGGATCACCTCATCGCCGTCATACCATCTTGACTACTGGGTTGAGGGGACTTCTTGAAACACAAAAGCTTCAGGATTTCTAAGTGTCAATGCTGACGGTCTATCGCGTATGCTAGTCTTGCTAGTTAATGCTTCTCTTGTATGATATCATGATGTTTGGCGCAAATCATCCGATTCCACCTGGGTATTCCATACAAACCCACGTCGAATGCGACAGTGCCCTTTGGATGCCATAACCACAAATCCCATGCGAGCGCCTAAAATCCCATAACTCCCACCCGCTCCACAAGTCCTCCAAGGCTGATGATAGGATAACAATAAGATATGATGTCAATGTCCGTTGTCCGTCGGGTTCTACTCCTTCCGCCCATGGCCGGCATAGTATGCCTCCTGCATCACCTCTTTCTGCTTGGTGATGGCTCCTTCATCGCCACCGTCACGACGGATATGCTCCTTCCCGGCCCAGAATTGTTCGCGCTCCTGGATAATCTCATCCGCCCAAGCCCTCATCTCGTCAAGTCCGACCTTGGTCTTGACAAAGGTGAACTCGCCCAGGTCAAGCTTGCCCTTTCCGCGCTTCTCGTACTCCACCATCTGCAGAAGTAGTTCGATCTTGTCAATGTCGTGGACAAAGAGACTTTCGGGCGTCTTGGAGTCCTCGTATTCTTGCCAAATGGCGCGTATTTGCTCGCCCTGCTTTCCACCATCGACATTGCCCAACAAGCGCTTTGTGATGTAGTCCATAGTCGAGGCTTCGCGCCTGTTCTTTTCCGTCTTTGGGACGTTGTCAACTGGGGTGATGTCGCCGACGAGGGATTCGGCCATGTCGTGGATCAGGGCCATCTTGATGCACCTGTTGACGTCGATTTTCTCGGCAAGGGAGGCAGGCGCGAGCATGGTCATCATGGACATTCTGTACATGTGGTCTGAGATTGACTCTCCTCTATCAACCGCCGATTTTTTAGCACTGTCAAAATCTAGGGGTCAAGAATAGAAGCTGGACGCTTACCGGTTGATGTCAAACCGCCTCCATCCCTCACGCTTGGTAGTCTTGAGGCGCTCGAGCAGATGGAAGTAGCCAATTGGGGAGTTGGAGCTTTCGGTGTACTTCCCGGTGCCGATAGTATTAACCGCCTTATCTACCGTCCAGTCACCTTCCACCTTAGGAACGGGAACGACTCCAAGATCTGGTTTGCGCGATCAGTAAAGGATCCGGGCGAGAAGACCTCGATGCAAGGCGGGGAGAGTGCAGGCGTACCTGTCTCGATGATGCCATTGGACTTGGCGCCGTTCTCAATTCCGCTTGGTGACATGTTTGTGATATTTCGTGTGATGGAGTGTATGTGTCTCGTTGTGCGTTCGGGTATAGTTCGCGAAGTTGGCCGCAGGAATTGTTGACGCAAGGCTAGAAAGTGTGATGGTAGAATCTGAGCAAAAGGTCCAAATCGGTGGTCGTTCGTTTCGAAAGTCAGTACACTCCAGAATATTTATACGTACTTAAGATAAAAAAAAAACCGGTGAAGTTCTTGTTTGGACAACCAATGCAAACAGAATACGGGAGCTTCAACAATGGAGAAGAGGAATGGAGATGGA